ATTGGAGCGGTCTTTTGATACCCCGTGGTTGTGGTATTGCCCCCTTGTGGGGTTACCCGCTGTGGCGTAGGTGGAGGACCCGAGGAGGGTAGCGGTCCAGAGAACCCTCGATTTCCATCCAGCCTTCTGCTCTCATGGAATTAATCTGCCAACCTCGCTGCCTCCTCTACCGTCTGTGGCTTTCTATCTCTGACCCAGTCTCTAACCTCCGCTGGTGTGTAATCAAAAAACTGCTCCAGTAGTATTAATTGCACAGCATCCTCCAAGGTAGTTGCCTGATGCCCCTGCATCCAGTTACTGGCAGCGGGTTGCATCCGAAATGCCCACTCGGTATATGAATCCTTGCCTTGTCTTCTGAGGGCCCGGAATTTCCTTCTGTGGGCTTCAGGTGTTACAGCATACCGAGCCAACAAAATCTCTTTTATTTTCCCATGGTTTTGTATATCCCCATCTGGCACAGCTCTCAATGCTTCTGCTGCTTTGCCAGATAATTTGCTGCTTAGTACTGCAGCCCAGTTAGCTCTTTCAAAATCTTGCAAGTAATTATCAATATCCATCTCACCTTCCACGAAGCTTTTAAATGCAGCGTAGTTGATTTTCCGCTGACGCCCCATTGTAGATCCAGATAGCGACAATATATCCACAGGAGGTGATCTGTCTCTGGCTTCTCTGGCGTTCTGGGTCTCTGTAGCTTGTGCCAAGATCTGTACCATGATCTCCGGTGCAGGGTTAGGTCCTACCAGGCTGAGTCTCCATCTCACATCCCTTTGGAACTCTGTTTCCTCTGCATTCGCCATTTGTTGTTCGCCAGTTTGATCGCTCTCCAGTAGTTTGGCTATTAACGTGGCTTTCGGTTTATTGCTTGCCACTATGTCTCGAGCTTCCAGCAGTTCCTTCAATGTTGTTCGTTTCAAGCGTTCGTATCTATGCGCCATTCACCACTTGTTTCGGTACGTCCGTTCGGGAGAAAATCACGCCGCTTGCCACCAGTGTAAAGGATCCTTCTATTCGTGCAGCGATGATCCTTGCAGCTTCTCCCAAAATCCAGCTGAAACGAAGTGATTATAACTCCCAATCCCCCAAACATGAGTCGAGACTTCATTTACTGTGGGCTACCTGTCCGGTATTTATGCAGGTCTCCCACCTGGTGGACCCTCCCCTAGGGGACCAGATGGAAGACTGGGACAAAAGCATTACAGTAGCCAATCACTCCCCTTTTACATAAATCACTCCCTCTTTTCCATCCTGGAGATAATTAACTTAAGTGAGTAAAAAGAGCCTTAATTATCTCCAGGTAGAAAGAAACATGGCTTTTCTTATTTTAGCAAAACAGCATAAAAATCATTTTACAGAACATAAACTTTAAGTCCCACATATCCCCAGATAGCTTGGATCTGAGTGCATATTCTAGGCGAATAGCGCTCAGATCCCACGAACACAGTTATCAAAAACGTCGACTGAAGTTTGGCTTTCGCCAGCCGTTCGCATGATTGTAGCCGACAACAAGTTCCATACTGTAGCTATCTGGGGTCGGTCACTTTCGCGTACTTCCAACGCACGAATGAGGTAGTATCTCCGGCATTCGTGTGTTTTTCCACCGTACGAACGAGGATCTGAAGAGGTAGCAGCGGTGTCCGGCAAAATCAGTAGCCGAAATTAGTTCCAGGGAATTGTCGCCATTTACCACTGAGCGTTCGACAATCCAAAATGGCGATTGCCACGTGTTCGGTAGATGAACGCGGACCACCAGCTATTCCCCAATTAGTCTGTGGTTAACCGCAAAGTCTGGGTCGTTAATAGGCGCCACATGACCTCAGTGGGAGGTCAAGTGGTTCGGTAGTTCATTTGTTTTTCTCGCTATTTGTACGAAATCACTCTGTACCCATCCAAATAACCGAACAGGCTGGTTCACATGGTCTGTTCAATACGGGATTTCATTACAGTATCCAATCCAGCATATCACATATAATGACATTTGGTCACTGAGGGCTACATATCGTGGCTATTAGAGGTTAACTGCCTGTTTGTTTGTAACTTCTTTACTTTCCCACTCCCTTCTAAAATGATACTGTGTTGCCAGTTCCACCTGTCAGGGAAGCATGATGATTCATGAGCCCAAGAGTCTAAGCAAAAAGTAATGCATTGCATTTGCAATGCCATTCTAAATACGAATGCCTATAGTGAGTGTTCGGGAGTTTACTAATAGTGCCAATACATTTTCATGCGATTGGTAGCTTTCGTGCATTTGACAGTTCGGGAGTTATTTTGGGAGTTTTAGGCATAAATTCAGGGAAAAAGAACATTGTTAAAAGCCATGTTGTGAGATCAAAGTACGAAATTTGAAACAAATGGTTTTACTTCATTCACTTGAGGCTATTCGGTATTTAGGGATTAGGGAACTAATTTTTATGTATTAAATTAATTTGGTTCAATTAAATTGCGCCGAATGAACGAATGGGTTTATCCGAAACTAAAAAAAACGAACTAATTTCATACGAACACGAATGGAAGAATGGACGAACTTTGGTTCTGACGAAACTAGAAATTTTCTTTCGTATGAAATGTTTTTTAAAGTGCCCAAGTCTACTTTAGGATATTATCCTGTTTCATCGATATAGTGTATCTGGCACCGTCCATTTATATTGTACAGAACATAATTTACCTATAATGGCATTTATTTAAAGGGCTTTTTCATTGCCTTGAACTACAGCCACAGAGAGGGTAATTATACTGGATAATAAATACCTTTTATATATAACACAATCTACCTACAATAGTGGCATTTTTTTTAAAGGGCTTCTATATTGCCTTTAACTAAAGCCACAAATTAATTAAATTGGATAAATCCCCCTCTATAGTTTATAAGATAATATAGATCATTCCAGTTAAACTATAACTGATATATAGGATCTGTGTGGGTGCAGTTACTCTATATTTACCCCTCTTATCATTCACTAAGTAGCCCACCCTGTCCATCTCTGAGTCTCTCCTTCCCCCTTCTTGGTATAATATAGAGCTTATATCCCTTTTATAGCTCTTTTTAATGGATGTATGCTACATGTTCTTTTCCCAGAGAGTTAAAAAATGTATCTTATTATATGTTAAATTATATTGGCTTATATTCTACAAGGAACCTTTCTTGTGCCCATTGTGACTTTGTCCTTTGGACGTATATTTTCTCTTTATTAATATTCATACTGGCCTAGATTTGGTTAAATTCGCATCCGAAATTATTCCAATCTGTTTAAAACAAAAAATATATAAAAGCTTATCCCAAAAATATTAAATTGAGGCCTAAATCTGCAACATATCCCTAAAACTTATATCTAACCGTAAGAGTTATTTTGGATGAAACTGTCATGGTGTGTAGCGCAGTTCAGCATAATATGTTCCCAGAGAACCACCAGGCTGTGTTTTTAGTGAGCTGTCATAGTGTGTAGCGCAGTACAAGATAATATATTTCTTCTCCCAGTGAGCAGTCATAGTATGTAGGGCAGTACAAGATAATATATTTCTTCTCCCAGTGAGCCGTCATAGTGTGTAGCGAAGTACAAGATAAAATATTTATTTTCCCAGTGAGCCGTCATAGTGTGTAGGGCAGTACAAGATAATATATTTCTTCTCCCAGTGAGCTGTCATAGTGTGTAACGAAGTACAAGATAAAATATTTCTTCTCCCAGTGAGCCGTCATACAGGGAGTGCAGAATTATTAGGCAAGTTGTATTTTTGAGGATTAATTTTATTATTGAACAACAACCATGACAGGTGTATAGTCGCCATTTTGGGCAGTCGGAATCCAGGACAACCACCCCATAACCCAACCCAATAACGCACATACTAGAGGATATGGGGAAATATGTCCACAGCTTTATTTAGCAAACAATAATAATAACAATAATAATCATAATAATAACTTAACAAGTAAACATGGGTCATTGCCCCCCATACTCCGCCCTCGCATCCTATTCCTTCCATTAACATATAAAGGGCAATGACCCCCATATAAATAAACATATATATATAACATACATCAACATTATTCCAATCGATGTAAAGTGCCAACCATCCATTAACCACGGCAGGGGTATACCCGGATACCCCTACCCCACCAGGTTCTGAGCCACCGACAGGACTCGAAACCTATCAACCACCAATGACCACCACTTGTTTGTCTTCCATTACGTTCATCCTGGGGAGCCTATTTCCTCTCCTTCAGCTCCCCGTCCCGCCGCTGTGAAAAAACGGGACAAAACCACACATAACAAAACAGGGAGGGTGGGTGGGACAAACTTAACCAGGTAGGAAGTTAAAATGAATTAACTAAAATGGCTGCCCATTTAAATAACCAAACCCACTTACCCATAACTCCACTCCCTTGCTTACTTCCTCCTAGGCCCGCCTCCTAACCCCTGTCAAGGCCTTTTTCCGCTTAGCTGCGCTTGGCTACATGGGGCTACATGACAGGTGTATAGTCGCCATTTTGGGCAGTCGGAATCCAGGACAACCACCCCATAACCCAACCCAATAACGCACATACTAGAGGATATGGGGAAATATGTCCACAGCTTTATTTAGCAAACAATAATAATAACAATAATAATCATAATAATAACTTAACAAGTAAACATGGGTCATTGCCCCCCATACTCCGCCCTCGCATCCTATTCCTTCCATTAACATATAAAGGGCAATGACCCCCATATAAATAAACATATATATATAACATACATCAACATTATTCCAATCGATGTAAAGTGCCAACCATCCATTAACCACGGCAGGGGTATACCCGGATACCCCTACCCCACCAGGTTCTGAGCCACCGACAGGACTCGAAACCTATCAACCACCAATGACCACCACTTGTTTGTCTTCCATTACGTTCATCCTGGGGAGCCTATTTCCTCTCCTTCAGCTCCCCGTCCCGCCATAAGCTCAGACCTTGACCCCTTAAGCCGTCTGAGCTCCGCCACCCCGAAGAAACAGCGCCCGCTGCATACCAACCTGCCAACCCAAGTTGAGCAGATCCCAACCCACCTCCGAAAGGTGAACCCCATCCGAGCGGTAGTACCCCGGCAACCCCTCCTCCAACTCGCTGTGCCGTACCACCACACCTCCCATCTTCCTAACGAAGCTCGCCATTAAGCTGTTCACCTTTTTCCTGCAGTGATCAATCGCCACCGGATCCCGCACGTGCCGCCATCGACGCCTTGGGACAATCTCCGACCACACTAACATAACCCCCGGAAGCAGGTCCCTCAATTTGTTGATGTCCTGCTTCATCCACTTTACCAACCGACGTTGTGGCGTGAGGCCCAAGTCGTTACCCCCAGCATGAAGGACCACCATGTCCGGTGTCCTCCCGCCCACCACCATCCTAAACATAGCCCCACAAACCTCCCCCCAGCAAAATCCCCTGTACCCAAACCATCGGACTGTCAACTGGTCCTTCGGAAAGCCCAGCTGCTGGCCCTGCATTCGAGCTGCGGCCCTCCTCTCCGGCCCAGAAGACAAAAGAATGTCCCACAATCCAAGCAACCCGTCCTGGGGAGAAGAAGAAAACAAGCATGAGGGAAAGGCAAAAGAGGACTCCTCCGTCCATGTCCACCCCCGCACCATATCTATACATACACATATATAAACATATACCTACCCAGACATGTACCTTTTTTTTTTTTTTTTTTATTCCAATAAGCCCAACCGCACATATGAGCGGAACCGCACCGACTCCCATCTCCCTAAGCGCTTCACGACCTCATCTCCTAATCCCAACCGTGCGGCCTCCGTGGCCGCCCCAATGCGAAAGGAGTGAGTACCAAAACGTCCGGCCGGAAGCCCCAACTTACCTAGCCCGGCCCGAAAAACCTTTGTAAACTGAAACCGGGACAGGGAAGAACCATCCGCATGTACCAAGAAGGAACCCCCCACCGCCGGCCTCCGAGCCATGTACTCCGCCACTGCAGCCACCGGGCACAATGCTGCGCCCGGCAGAGCCCATAGCGTAACGTCCCTACCCACGCCACGGGCGTCCGTCTTAGAACTACCCAGATGCACAACCACCTTACCCTCCAAAACACGAACCCCTGAGGCCTGCAGACCCCCGGGCACCACCCTACTGGCACTCACCAGCTCCCCCACGCGGAACGCCCCGAAAAATGCCAAGAGAAAAGCCGCTCTGAACAGAGAGACCTCAAACCCGTTGAAACAAATTTCCGGCAACCGACCCACCAGATCCCCCAATACCCGTACCGACACCGGGCGCCTAGAGTCACAGGTCCTGCGGCCCTTTCGATAACCCTTCAGCGCCTGCCGTACTAGGAAGGTCTTAGTCAGATCCTCCGCCCCGCGCCATCGGAACCAGAACGCCATTGCCGCCATGGACCTGTCGACCACTGCCGGGGACGCCCCCTTTGCCAGCAATTGGCAGGTGTACCATAGAAAAGCGTCCCGCAGCGCATCCCCACGTAAGCCATGCTCCAACCCGTCTAATGATCGTTCCCAAGAGTCCCAGACCTTACTGTAGGAGGCCCATGTGGCCGGTGCCAGTGAAGCCTTCACAAGTCCCCCAAGCAGGACGCTCCCAGCTGCCATATCTCGTCTGGGCAAGCCTCCCCTTCCTTCAATGCTCCTGGCGCCATCGACCAAAATCGGGACCACTGAAAACGAGACAGAGCGTCAGCCACCTCATTCAGGTACCCAGGGACATGACGCGCGCGAAACACAACATTCCGTGACATACACATCAACACAAAGCGCCGCAGCAACCTAACCACCGGCTTAGAGGCAGCCGATTGATTATTCACCGCATGCACCACCGCCATGTTGTCCGAGAAAAAGACCACTTTCTGGTCCCGGAGCCCCTCGCCCCATAGTGCCATTGCAACGACCAACGGGAATAATTCCAGAAAAGCCAGGTTGCGCATGACTGGGCTAGACCCCCATGCCTCCGGCCACCGCTCCGCGCACCATCTCCCGCCAAAGTAGGCCCCGAAGCCCACACTACCCGAAGCATCCGTGAAGAGCTCCAACTCCGCCGCCGACTTACCCGCCCGCCTGAAAAACACCGTCCCGTTGAACTCCTGCAGGAAGGCATCCCACACGCCCAAATCAGCCCTCATGGTTGCTGACACCCGTATGAAATGATGCGGGGATCGAACTCCTGCCGTAGCAGCCGCCAGGCTGCGGCTGAAAACCCTCCCCATAGGAATTACACGGCATGCAAAGTTCAGCATCCCTATTAGCGACTGCAGTTGCCGCAGCGTAACTTTGCGCGCAACGGTCACCGCAGCTACCGCCCCCTTGAGCCCCTCCAACTTGTCCCGAGGCAGTCGGCATTCACCCAAGATAGAATCTATTTCTAACCCCAAGAAACTAAGGCACGTCGTCGGGCCCTCCGTCTTATCCGCTGCCAGCGGCACCCCAAAGTGGCCCGCCACCCATTCCACGGTCCTAAGCAGTTGCTGGCATGCCGAGGAGGCAGCCGGCCCCACGCAAAAGAAATCGTCCAGGTAGTGCACCACCGAACGGTTCCCCGCCTCGACCCGCACCACCCATTCGAGAAAAGTACTAAATTTCTCGAAATAGGAGCATGAAATAGAACAGCCCATAGGGATGCACAAGTCCACGAAATATTTTCCCTCGAAAAACATCCCAACAGGTGGTGGCAGTCCGGGTGGACTGGCAGCAGCCGAAACGCCGCCTCAATATCCACTTTTGCCATAAGTGCCCCATGCCCGGCCCGTTTAACCAGCTCGACCGCCCGGTCGAATGATGCATACGAGACCGAGCATAGGTCCTTATCAATACCGTCATTCACCGACTCCCCTTTTGGGTAGGAGAGGTGGTGAATGAGCCGGAATTTCCCCGGCTCCTTCTTTGGCACCACCCCAAGAGGGGAAACCCGTAGGTCCTCCAATGGGGGCACCGCAAACGGGCCCGCCATCCGCCCCAGCGCAACCTCCTTGTCTAGTTTCTCCCGTACCACCCCCGGGAAATCCGCCACCGACTTCAGGTTGCGCAACCCCCCCGAACCCCCCGCTCCCGGAAGGGAATAAAGAAACCCCGCCCGAAGCCTTCCCTAAGTACCGAGGCATCAGTCCTGTTACCGTAGCGGCTTAGCCACGGCTCCATCGCGTCTAGCCTCACCGGCGTGAAGCCCCGGGGCAGGGGAAGCATTCCCTCCGGCCCCGGCAGCCGCTCCGGCTGTTCCCGCCTTCCCTTTTTTGAAACAGCGATTGAGCCCATGAGCACCCCCGCAACCGGAGCACTCATGCTTAAATCGACACGCGTTTCCCCATTTGCACTGGCCCTCATTGTAGAGCCAGCAGAAGCCCTTTTGCAAAGCGGCCGACGAGGCGGACTGCCCCTTCGCGCCGGCCGAGTTTGGAAAGGGCTGCGCCTTCTGGGCCATCATTAGCTTCATCCAGAGGGGCAGATCCATCTGATCCCACCTCATCCCCGGGTTAGCCGCCAGTCGCTGCCTAAACTGTTCATCGTATCGCCACCATGCCAGCCCCCCATAGGTGCGATATGCTTCCCAAATGCCGTCCAGGTAGCAGAACAGGGACGAGCATAATCCCGGCGATTTTTCCCCCAGCACGCTGGCTAGCACGCAAAACGCCCGTAACCAGTTGCCAAAGGATTTCGGAATCTTGCGATACCGCTTCCTCTTCTCCTCCTCCTCCTTCTTTTCATCCTTTTTATCCTCCTCCTTGAGGTCAATAAAGTCCTCCAAGGGGAGCAGGGAGAAGATCTCGCAGAACTCACCTTTCCAGAGCTTCTCTTTCACGTCCTGTTTCAGATGAACCCCCAGGGGGCCCGCAAACGAGACGTATGCGTGCTGCCTGGCTGCATCCGGAATACCCCCGGCCAGTTCCGCCTTGTCACCCCCGGCCGCCATCGCCTCGGGCGCCACCCCCACGTCCCCGCCCGAACTAAGCCCCACTAGGACCAGGGACCTCCGTCCCCGGGGCCCAAACCCGACCAACGCCACCCCCCGTGTCACCCCCCGCCCCCAGCGAGTGGAGCAGTGCTTGCAGTGTGCTAACCAAGGAACTGGAGTGTAGTGACCCACAAGACTCACCGGCCAAGCCCCCTGCAACTGACGCGGCAGGGGCTGCGTCGTCGACTGCCCGATGTCCAGGGAGAGCGACTCCCGCCGATACCTCGCCAACCGGGGAGCCAAACCGGTGCCTTGCCCGTGTCGATATGGAACAGCTCCGTGACCTGGAAAGAGGAGAAGAAGTCCTGGGTAGGGTGCACTGAGTATTCGCATCCCCCCCCGTCTCGACCCTGGGAGCGCCTGCCCATTGCCAAAGCCTCCCGCTGTGCCCCCTGTACACGCCGCGCGCGGGAGCCCCTAGGGCTACGGCTCCTCCTGTTTTCCCCGGGCATACGTCCCCGCCGACCACCCCTGGGGACGCTAGACCCGCTCTCTCCCGAGCTCCCTGACCTAGAGCGGCGCTGCCGGGACCTCCCCCTCCTCCCCCTCTTCCCCCGTGGCTCTACTTCCCGAACCGGAGAGGGACTACCACTACAGGACCCTGAACCGGACCCCCCCCCCCTACTACCCTGCACCCCCAAACGCTCACCCCTCCGGCTAGAGCCCGACCCCCCACCTGAACTGGCTCCCAGACTAAGGGGACCTAGACCCCCCTCAACCAGACTGGCCCCCCCAACCCCTAAACCAGGCCTACCCGACCCTACCCGCACCGGCCTAGCCCCAGAGCCCAAGGAGGCCCCCTTTCCCCTACTGGGGGAGCCCAGCAGTCCCTCCTCACCCACAGCCCCCCCACCCCTACCACTACTCCCCCCACCTATGACCCCTATGCCCTCCCCATCCACCACCCGCGGTCCCTGGGAGGCCTTCCCACCCCCCACTTGGGCCCTCCGCCCTCCGCCCCCTGACAGGACCCCCCCAGCACTTTTCCCGCCAAGGGGGCCCCGGCCGGAGCCCCCTGCACTTGCCTTTGGGGCCGGGAACCGGCCACGTGTCCTCCCGGTCCCGGTCCCGCCGATCTCCGCCTCCGACGGGGCGTGCGCCCTCCCGGGCCGCAGCTCCATGCTGCCCGCTCCTCCAGGGGACCGCCCGGCCACGTCCGACCCGGCAGCCGCGACGGCCCCGTCCCGACCGTCCCCCCGGCGCCGGGCACTGGTCCTAGGCTCCGGCCGCTCGCGGGGAGGCGGGGCCTCTACCACGCGGCTGCCGGGCCTGCTGCCGCCCGCACCGGAGCCTCCCGGACCACCAGGGATGTCTTCACCGGGTCCCACACCCGGGCTTAGCCGCTCCGGAGGCCTCCTGGCCCGAACAGGCCGTCGTCCGCCGCCGTCCTGGCCCTCCGCCGCCGCCAGGGCCGGGCCTAACTGGGCCTTCAGCCAGTCAGCCCCCTGGTGCCTCGCCGCCGACCGGATCCGCTCCAGCAGTCGCTCCACTTCATCCATCGGCCCTGCAGGGAGACAAAAGAGGAAAAGCCCTACCAAGCCAAATCTGTGCCCACAGGAGCGGACACAAACTTAACCAGGTAGGAAGTTAAAATGAATTAACTAAAATGGCTGCCCATTTAAATAACCAAACCCACTTACCCATAACTCCACTCCCTTGCTTACTTCCTCCTAGGCCCGCCTCCTAACCCCTGTCAAGGCCTTTTTCCGCTTAGCTGCGCTTGGCTACATGGGGCTACATGTTCTCAATGAACCCAAAAAACTCATTAATATCAAAGCTGAATATTTTTGGAAGTAGTTTTTAGTTTGTTTTTAGTTTTAGCTATGTTAGGGGGATATCTGTGTGTGCAGGTGACTATTACTGTGCATAATTATTAGGCAACTTAACAAAAAACAAATATATACCCATTTCAATTATTTATTATTACCAGTGAAACCAATATAACATCTCAACATTCACAAATATACATTTCTGACATTCAAAAACAAAACAAAAACAAATCAGTGAACAATATAGCCACCTTTCTTTGCAAGGACACTCAAAAGCCTGCCATCCATGGATTCTGTCAGTGTTTTGATCTGTTCACCATCAACATTGCGTGCAGCAGCAACCACAGCCTCCCAGACACTGTTCAGAGAGGTGTACTGTTTTCCTCCTTGTAAATCTCACATTTGATGATGGACCGCAGGTTCTCAATGGGGTTCAGATCAGGTGAACAAGGAGGCCATGTCATTAGATTTTCTTCTTTTATACCCTTTCTTGCCAGCCACGCTGTGGAGTACTTGGACGCGTGTGATGGAGCATTGTCCTGCATGAAAATCATGTTTTTCTTGAAGGATGCAGACTTCTTCCTGTACCACTGCTTGAAGAAGGTGTCTTCCAGGAACTGGCAGTAGGACTGGGAGTTGAGCTTGACTCCATCCTCAACCCGAAAAGGCCCCACAAGCTCATCTTTGATGATACCAGCCCAAACCAGTACTCCACCTCCACCTTGCTGGCGTCTGAGTCGGACTGGAGCTCTCTGCCCTTTACCAATCCAGCCACGGGCCCATCCATCTGGCCCATCAAGACTCACTCTCATTTCATCAGTCCATAAAACCTTAGAAAAATCAGTCTTGAGATATTTCTTGGCCCAGTCTTGACGTTTCAGCTTGTGTGTCTTGTTCAGTGGTGGTCGTCTTTCAGCCTTTCTTACCTTGGCCATGTCTCTGAGTATTGCACACCTTGTGCTTTTGGGCACTCCAGTGATGTTGCAGCTCTGAAATATGGCCAAACTGGTGGCAAGTGGCATCGTGGCAGCTGCACGCTTGACTTTTCTCAGTTCATGGGCAGTTATTTTGCGCCTTGGTTTTTCCACACGCTTCTTGCGACCCTGTTGACTATTTTCAATGAAACGCTTGATTGTTCGATGATCACGCTTCAGAAGCTTTGCAATTTTAAGAATGCTGCATCCCTCTGCAAGATATCTCACTATTTTTGACTTTTCTGAGCCTGTCAAGCAGGGCCGGACTGGGAAAAAAATTAGGCCCAGGCATTTTTCAATCAGAGCGGCCCCCTAAGAAGGGGGCGGGGCCAGAGAGTGTGTGTTTTGTCATAACTAATGACAACACACCCCCTCTCAAAGTGAGAATGTTGGTTCAATGCCCAGAGCCCTGCTGAAGAGCTCTGGCATTAGAAAAAGGCCCTGAATTTGTTC